ACTTCAGTTTTCAACACTTGAGACCGACTATACATCATATACAGTACATCATGTCATAAAAGCCATAAGTGTTTATTGACAACATTATTTCTAAAAAACATGTGGACAGCCATCCACTGCAATTGTTAAAATAGATTTACTAAAGTAGCCACAGCTGTTGGCAGCTTTGTCCTTTGTGTTCAAAGTTTTCATTCTATTTATTTTGCTCCGGCATGTGTTTGCAAACCAGAACAGTGCAGTGTGCAATTAGCCAGCAAAATGTTAGTGCATTTATCAACAGTTCCACACATATCCTCCACATCCAGTCTGCTCTATTATAGATTTAATCCGCCTCTTTTGTGCACACATTTTTCAGTATTGGTTCTGCAGAGTTTTCTTAGATTGGGCTTTTATTGAGGTCTGAATGGGTGCCTTCAACAAAGCTTTGAAAATTCCGCATGGCCTTTTACAACGCACAAAAGGTTTTCAATTTAAAAAAGAGGACATGCTTTAGGTTTGAGCAGCTTGCTTGATTTTATCTAGATAAAAAGTATTTATTCTACCATCTAGTAAAAGAATGTATTTTTTTATTATCCATATGCTTACCTTGGCCATGTTTTCAACCGAAAGGTTGTTATCTAAAAAAAAATCAAATTAAAAGGTATCGTTACTAAGCACTTGCAATAGATACACATATATTTATACTGTTAATGAAAAAAATAGCTTTACATAAATAATGTAATCAATGTTTGATCATGTTGTGAAAATCTTGAATTCTATATAGAATTTTCAATTATATAGGTATATTTGGGAAGCCAAATGTATTTACTAAATAGTCTGTTTCCTGCTTTGCAGTGCTGCAGTGTATGCGCTTTACAGATGCTTTTTACAATTCTATCAGTCAGCCAAAACTTCAGGGTTAATTTACTATAGGAGTACAGGCTATTTATTTAGCAAAGTGCAAAATAACTGCAAAATGAATATTCATTAATCCTAGTAAATCATAAGATGTTGGCGGCTTCAGTAAACCAGTCATGTGCTAGCAAAAATATTTTCTTTCACACATGACAGGGTATTCAAAGTGAACAGAGGTTGACTTTATTTACATGTATTCACTTTGCAAGTAAACATACATGTTCCCAAGGGCTCAACCCATTTAGTAAATCAGTCCCAATACAATAATGCATTAGTTGGATGGCCTATATCCTGTCTCAATAGCTTTTACATGATTAGAGTGATTGCATTATCTAATCTATCTTTCCTTATATTGCTAATTTACAAATCTTTATATTTAAAGTCCAGCTTTTTTATTATTCTAACCTTTTTCAGATCTCTTCAGGCCAAATGATGGGCTGGGTCTTCTTTCTCTTTGCCTCTTCCTCTGAAGGTGAGAGGTTTTCAGTGATGCAAAGAGGTCTGTGCATCGTTAAGAACTGTGAGTGAAAGGTGCGGTGGTGATACCCCTTCAGGGGACGGCTCAGAGATGCCCTGCACTCACAGGTTCTCCTCAGTCTTCTGGATTGAATAATGCTGGGCATCATTCAGCCTGGAAGACTGTAGACCTCTTGTGGTGAAAAGTTATTACTGCAGTGTAGCTCTGGATTGAAGGTGAGTATTGAAGTCGACTCAAATTCTGCTGGACTATTTTATTTTTCCAAAATGTACTTGGATTTATTCTTTAATACAGTAGTAAAATATGAATGCAAATATGTGCAAGTCAAATCCAAATGTACTTTATGACAAATACTGCAAAATAACTCAAAACAAGTGCTCACTGAAGTTACATTATACTTTCCCTTTCAATTAGTCTTGCTCTGCATGCATACTGTTGAATCTCTGTGAAAAAAAGAACAGAGACAATGAAAGAACTTCAGGCGAATGTATTCCATTCCAAATCCTATCTGCGCTTTTTACCATTTCCAGCTCTTTCGATGGCTTGCTTTTGGCACTGGAAGTAGATGGAGGAGGTGTTTAGCAGTCAGAGTTCAGGTATTTATGAGTAGTCAGTGTTCCACAGAGAAATAATGATAGTCTTAGGAAATAAAATCTCATATTTAGGGCTAAAGCAGTCACATAGCATGAGACACTTTGATGGATTCAAAGACTAGCTGCACTGAAAATCAAAGGATTTGACAGGCTTGCAGAGGTCGTTATAGAAAATAGTTTGTTTGGGTTTTTTTTGTCTGGAGTTTCTCTTTAATATTAAAATGCCATTATGCTGTGGGCTTCATGGGATCTAAAAGATGATACCCTGTCACCTTTATTGTTTTTGATCTTACTGTATAAATACATGCAAATTTTACTTTATTTTGCTATTATTTTCCCGCTTGTACAGTCATCTGTAAAATAATTTTGAAGACTTCTGTATATCTTCATGTATAGTGAAACAATTATTTTTGACAAGCTGTGCTGTTGTTCAAAGGAAAATATTTTACTATAATAAAAGTCACCAGAACCTACATGTAAACATGAGGCTTTATGTAGACTATTAAGTTGAAGTGATTCACAGATGAATGCATGTTAAATTATGAGTGTACTATCTACATTAGATTTACTTACTTTTTAGTGTAAGGCTATACCATGGGTAAAAATATGAAAGGATTGCAGTCCCTCGTACTACACAGTTATTAGTAACCTAAAAGGAGATTGCACAAAGGTTTTAAAATCATATTGTAATGTGTATGGACAGTTTTGGAGGACATTTATACAATCAGTATTTATTCGCTGAAATAACTGATCCGGTTCATTAAAAAGTAAAGTAGAGACAAACCCAATCACTAAAATCCTATACAAGCTTCAATAGGATAATATAATTTGAATCACTTTTTGCAATCGATTCAAATATGCAGCTTTTAGTAAATACTACCTGGTGATGCTTTCTACCAACATTTCTCGATCAGCTGATCGAAGGAGCCAGCTGAGAAATCTTTGTAAGATCAGAGTCGGCAGCCAATGAGCTGCCCATTAAGATCGGGCATTCTGACAGGTGCCGCCGGCTCCTGTCAGAATACAATGTAAACAGCAGCGATTCCTTGATCGACACGCTATTTGTGTTGATGGAGGAATCGCGTCAATTTGTTCCGTTCAGCCCAGTGGCGGAACTACCGCCGGTGCAGGCGGTGCGGACGCACCAGGGCCTCCGGCCTACCTTCTACCTGTCTAAATTAAGGACAGGTAGAAGGAGAGCTGTTAGTACATTACTAGGGACCAGAGCTATGTACAGAAGTTGTCAGGGAAAGGGGATAGCAGTGCAGGCAATTAACTTTATTTAATTAACACAATGCATTCAGCAGCACAGAAGAAAAAAAGGTGCACACCATAGTCTAACCGAAGTCCACCATAGTCAATTCATAAAGCAGAACATGCCCAGCATACTAGACACCCCGCCTAGAAGCCAGGTGCCCTAACGCATTTCATAGAGAGGTATGTCTGCAATTAAGACCCATAGGGATGACCCCTCCTTCAAAGGTCTGATGGCAAAAAAAGCTACACTGCTAAGACAGTTAAACAGATTCTCCTTACTGCATAGCCTGCAAAGTGTAATCTGTGACTAAGGCAACAATTCTAAAGTCGCCTACTGAACATCTGATGTCAGTTGTTCTTGCTTGAACATGTCACAGGGGGTACAGGGTCAGTGTCAACAGTAACCTCTGAAATCATTAATAATATAGTACTGGATTTGTGTTTTCTTTCCATGCACACAGATTTTCTATGTATAAATTGCTTCAGCAACTCCCTTAAGGAGGCCCCCTCCTCACCAAGGTCCCATAACAGCTGTGTGGGCCTCTATAACTATTGTTATGCCAAAATGTTTACAGTGATGCCAAAATGCAGTTTCCATTCCCTAATCATAGCCTCAGTAAAAGAAATAAAATCATTTTCTGATCCTTTGATAACATTTTCTGTTTTGTTTTGACATATGTATTGCCCAATACATATACAGGCTGCTATTTGCACTGGAAAAAATTATTTTTACAAATTATTTTCTCTGCTCTTGTCATCACTAGAGATCCACACTGAAAATTACCACTCTGATAAAACTTTACATTTTCTCAGTTGCAAATGTTAGCTGGGCTAAAAAGAAATGCACACCCAAGTTCCATCTGCTCCAGCAGCTGTGATCAGTGCCAAAGAAATTGCTGACATCTTCACAGAAACAATGTGATGTGACAATGTAAGGTGACACACGTCCAATATACAGTTGTGCTCAAATGTTTGCATAGAATTGGTAATATATGTACAATTTTTAAAGAAAATATGAGTGAGCAGGCAAAATACATTTCTTTTATTTCTTATGGAATTCATATTTAACTGTAGGTTATGACAGGATTGCACAATCACAAAACAAAACATGGCAACAAATTGAAAAATTAAATGACCCCTGTTCAAAACTCTGCATACCCTTAAAGGAGAACTATGGGGGGTCAGTGTTTTTCCCCATAGTTCTCCTTAGGGTAACGGGAGGACACAAACTAGCGTCCTCCCGTTACCCTAAGCTCAGTATACCGCGAGCTACAGCTCGCGGTATACTGAGAAGCCGCAGCCGGAGCGGATCCCGACTTAGATGACGGGATCCGCCCAGCTGCGTGAGTGACAGCTGGCTCTGCCTATCTAGGGGCAGAACCAGCTGTACCCGCCCACTCCCCCGTCCGTTCCGCCAGTCAGCGCTGGCAGATCGGAGCGGGGAGAGGGGAATCCAGCCCCTCCCCCTGTCACGGCAGAGAGCCGTGACAGGATCGAGAGGCGAGCGAACACGGTATGTGTTCGCTCACCTCCCGATCTACTGAGCCGACCTGTGACAGTCTCATTGTCACAGGTCGGCTAGAACTATGAGGTGAGTGAAAAGCACTCACCTCATAGTTCTCCTTTAATTCCTAATCCTGTGCATTGCACCCTTTAGCATCAATGACAACGTGCAGTTTTTTGTAATAGTTGTGTATAAGGCCCGCATTCTTGCAGGTGGTATAGCTGCCCATGCGTCTTGGAAAAATGCCTCTAGGTCATGCAAAAGTCTTTAGTCTTCTTGCATGAACCGCATGTTTGAGATCTCTCCAGAGTGGTTTGAGGATATAAAGGTCAGGAGACTGTGGTGGCCACTCCAGAACCTTCACCTTTTTCTGCTATAAATACTGGTCAACTTGGCCTTATACTTGTGGTGGAAAGTCCAAGAGCGTCCCATATGCAGCTTTTGTGCAAAAGAATGCAAATTGTCTGCCAGTATTTTCTGATAACAGGCTGCTTTCATCTTGCCATCAATTTTCACAAGATTCCCCGTGCTTTTAGAGCTCACACACCTCCAAAACATCAGTGAGCCACCACCATGCTTCAAAGTGGGGATGCTATTCTTGTCGCTAAAGGCCTTGTTGACCCCTCTCCAAACATATTTGAGGTGCAGACCATCGCCTCAGAGGAAGTCGGAAGTGATGAAACGGGTCAGTGGGCGGATCCATGCAAGTATTATGATCATAGAGACAGGAACTCCAGTGGACATAATCTATGTGCAATTGCCTTATTTTAATTGTAAGTGCATTTTAATTATTTGAAATACATTTATTCTGACACACTACACTATGGGAAGTATTTTTTCTCTGAGTACAAGAGAAGGTGGAAGATGGAGGAATAGTATGGAACACTTTTCAAAAGATAAGCTAGAGTCCCAGCCTTCTGCCTACTGCATGCCCTACCCCTGCCCACGAACGGTACTCCCTCTTGCCCAACTTGCTGGGAACATCTTTGTCTCCTGACAGCTAAGAAGTCAATCCTGTGTAATTGGATCTTACCTGAACCCCCTTCCATAGATATGTTCCGCCCCCTGTTAAACCGCCTGTTTAACAGTATCTCGAAGCCATGGTATCTCGAAGCCAAACTGACTGGCTCCCTAGGATCTCTGGATGTCCTTTGACCCATGTTTTCTGCCCTTAACCGAATTTCCCATCATACTGTAGTATACTTGATCCTCCTGATATGCCCACGATTACCCCTGATGGTTCGAATTGGTCTTCTCCCCACAGTATGGACCCTCATGGCTATAGGGTTAAATATTTGTAGTTATTGTTATGCATAACTGATGCGCATTAATAAAGGGAGATACTAGAGCGAAGTCAAATGAAAATGTCTCATCCAGAGCTTCCTCCCTGTCCGCCTCCGAATCATCCAGATCTGAATTCTGGGAAGACACTACTTCTCTAGGTCCTTCCCCATCTCTTCGCCGTTTAGAAGTAGAACTATGCTGAGTGTATTCCTTAATGCCCTCTGCCACTGCCTCCCGGATATAGGCTTGTATATCTTGGGAATCAGAAGCCGTATCCCCAGCCAACTCTCTGATGCAGGTCACACACAACATCTTCCTTGGAAGTGCCCGAGCACCACATGCCCGACATGTTTCTGTGGATGGCCCTGCCTGGGGTGAGATTGACCTTGGTCTAGCTTGCGTTAACTGGGGAGACCCATGTGGAGAGGGCCTGTTGGGTCTAGATTCAGGAGAAGACTAAATCCTGGGGGGACGCGATTTCACCTTATGCTTCCTATATATAGGGCTCTTCCCACTGAAACGATACACCCATGAGATGTCAGCACTCTTTTAATCCTCCAGCAAAAAATACAAAAAATGTAAAAGATGAGAATGGCCATACCTCTCAGATGAACTTCGTGCTTGTCTAACTGGGCTACCCGGACTCATGGTGGCTCACTAGGAACATTTCAAAACCCATAAAAATGAAGAACTTCAGAAGCAGATAAAAATAAAACATAACAAAACACCCCTTAGCAGGGCTTACCTGGGACTGGCAACACTCTGACTGTGGCAGCTTCCCGAACAACCTTCAGTAGTATAGTAATGTAGAGGACACACAAAGCTAGCAAGACTGCAGCAGCCCAAAACTTCTGAGGCATTACTGCCTCTATATAGCTGTACCAGCATTTGAATTTCGCACCCCTCTGATCCAGGAAGTACCTCTCGGCGTGCGCTCCACGCTGGAACGTACTCAGACCTGCCCCTCCTATCGCCCCACCAATCCGGAGCAAGAAGGGGCGAGTCCCGCGCTCCACGCTGGAACGCACGCTCGCAGCCACGGCTTTGCTACCGCTATACCCTGGAAGCCCTCAGTGGCTGGATGGGGACAAGGATGGCCTGCTCTCTATGGTAAGTCGCCACCATGAGTCCGACTTACCTTGCCCACATGCCTGCAACCTTTTAGGTCGTCTCCGGCCCCAAATGCCCAGCACCAGGCATGCCCCATCCAGTGGATTTACCACCTACCAGGGCATCTTCCACCTGGGAAAAGAGGCTGAACCCGTGGCCAAAAGGCCAACGAAAAAAAAGAGAGAAAAAACAAACCAAAAAAAAAAAGTCGTTAGATAGGTGTCCTGAGCGAGGACAAAAAAAGAACACGCACGAGGTGGGAGAGGGGGGATTTATTCTCTTGTCAGGGGTAGTCCTACTGTGATTCGGGGGCGGGGTTAACCCATTAGTATGCCGACATGAGGTGAGCCAGGAAATATATACGATACACAGTATATTAGGGATGCATAATTTTTCCCCACCAAGTACCAGTTCTTGTCCAGGTACTCACAAATACAATTACATTTCTGTTTAGTGTTATTTGACAGTTTAAAAAAAAACAATACTGACTAATGATTTCAGGACAGTGGTGGAGTGCCAGGGCTCTGCCACAGCTGCGACTCCTGCAACCCTGGTAGTTCTTGTGAAAATGCCAAGCATCAGGAGTGGTATCTGAACTGGTATCTAAACATCCCTAGTGTAGACTATAAGTGTACAACACATCTTGACTACGCCTGACTGCTGCCTGCCTCTGACCTCTGCTTGTCCCTGGATTACTCTTCTGCCTGCCTCTCCGGTACCCTGCTGCTCGATGGTTACTGACCCTGGCTTGCCCGACTCCGCTCGGCTCCAGCCGTGTTTGGGTGGTTCCCAGCCACATCTGCACCTGCTTCACTGAAGACTGATATCGGAACTTGCCCAGGCCCAGTGCCCTGCACCCTCTGGCACCGGTGCTGCTCTCTGCCCTCTCACTCCGTGTCTCCACACTCAGGGGTGTGGGACACGAGTTGCAAAGGGGGCCTCCTCACTACTCGGTTCTCTACCAGGTACATGATACTCACCATGCACTGCAATTCCATTGACCACGCACTCATCATACCTTTTATTAAATACCTTGGGGTGTCTGCTTCCCAAAATACGGCCATTTTGCAGGTGTCTTTACTTTCCTGGCACCTCAAATTGGGGTGTATTTGTAAGTATGCCCATGCTGTGTGGGAGAAATAACTTAAAATGGCAGGCAACCTTGTGAAAAAAAATACATTTAATTTATTGTATTCATTATCAGAAAAAATGCTAAATACCTTGGGATGGTCTACAGGAGAAATTGCTCAACCAATTTGCTCAGCTGACATGGCCCTAAAAGATCATTCTCTGCACTGCTATCATCTCTTTCTTGACAACTTATATGCACAGCATTGGCACCTGGTAGTGCACTGACTTTTCTGACAGCTCTCTTTCTAACTATCATTAATTGAAGCAGACTTTATGTTAAGATCAGTGACACATACTGTCATAGTGGACAGTCAGGTGCCACAGAGAGAGGACGCTGTGTGACCCCATTCAAATTTTGCTATGGGGTCCATGTCCTCTAGTTGTGCCCCTGAACTATAAACAATTTATGCTGGCCAGATTGCTTTCTCCCATGTTTGGATGCACCTGCTTTAAAGAGGGTTTAGCCATGTTTTCCTGTGTTTACACACGATTGCATGTGTTTACATGTATTTATGAATAGTCAAAGTTTCTATTCAGACCATGGAAGCACAGCATTCCATTTTTTCTTAACACAGTTAAGCTGACTGCACCTAAATACATGTAAACGATCAGTTTTAAATAATGTATGATGTAATGATACTATTAACGTCAAAAGCATATCATTTCAGGTTTAATACTCCCAGTGAGAATGAAGCCTAAGAACAGCAGCCTCTTCACTTTTCACAAAATTAGCACAAAACTTCACTTCACAAAATTAGCAGAACTTCCAAAAGGAAAACCAGTACATCCATGACTACCGTCATTTTCAAAGAGCATGTAAACAGTTCTGCTCCTACCACCACAAATACACTATGAAAGACTTTAATTGCAAAGCAAAAGTACACCAGGACTCACAGGGACTAGATATGGGTTATTGTTTTGCAAATTACAAAAACGCCATGCCATTTCAAATAAGTTTTATTAATGCTCTGATTTTCTATCTCTTTATCTCATCATAGTTCTAAATTGCCTAGGGTCTCCAATCAATCACTTCTTTCGGTTAAATCACAACTCATTTTAGAACAAATAGAGTGGGGTCCAGCAAAAACCTCAAGTTTTCACCATTTGGGAGATAGCACTTCCAATGTGGTCATGTGTACAGGAAATGAGGTGAAACCTATTAAACAGGAAAGCAGATACTAAAAGAAAAAAAACCCTGACAAAGGTTATTATAACCTTTCCCTACTCTATTCAAATTCAAAATAAATATTTTCACTGGAGTTCGGTTTTAATGCTGTCTTTCGTAAGATAGCATTTATACACAACTGACTGTGTTACATTATCTGTTGCATTTTATACATTTTGGCTAAATCCTGTATTTCTTAAAATGCTTATCTTATTTTCTTGGAAATATTAAACATTTTGTGCAAAATATAATTTTATGTTGGCAGCATTGCAAGACAACACACTAAGGAGACATATGAATGCATTCAGAATCCCACTTCCATACCACTGCAGAGGACATGAGATGTACAGCTTCATAATGACAGATGTCAGATTGCTTTGTAAGACCAGCACAAAAACTCACCAGTCTGGTAGATTTCTTTGAACTAATATGGGTACAAGCAAACAATCTTGTAAAGAAATTCCTTGATCCTTGGATTAATTATGTGCCTTAGGTGGTTAGCAGGACATCTTTTCATTGGCACCAGGAGGCTGCCTTACAGTAAAAGTAATGCTTTAGGAAAGATTAGCTTCAAAATGTATGCTATATAAAAACAAATTGTACTCTGCCTTTTGATCACTCACAGACAATGTTCAATAAAATAACGAACAGCTTATAAA